GTGTGTGTGTGTGGCCAGCTCAGCCCACCAGGGGGGGGCTGGCTGGCATGTGGTGCTGGGGGATTGAACCGCGATCCCTGCACTTTGCTAAGCTTGTTCTAAGTAGGTGTTTTAGACCACTGAGCCATCTCCCCAGCCCCCATTAAATCTTTATAGTCCAACTGACAAGGGAGGAGAAGCCCAGCGGACCTGGATTTCAAACCCAGCTCCAAATCCTAGAAGGGAATCACTTTCTTCAATACAAGGATTGGCTGGGTATGGTAGCACACAGCACAGGCAAAGAGCGGGTAAACTAAGGCAGGAGGATCCTTAAGGCCATCCTGGATTACACAGTGAGTTCAAGGCTAGCCTAAACTCATAGTGAGAACTTGTCTCAAAAGTAAGTAAACATAAACATTTTAACAAAGGAAAGGCCCACACCAGATGACTTCTAAAGATCCTTCTAGGGCTTTGTTATGCCAAGTTCCATATCCTCAAAGCTGGGGATCCTAGGTTTGGCTCACATCTTAATGAGGCTGCTGTGAGCGGCTCACCCAAGTGGAACCAAGTGCACAAGGGGCAGTCTGCAAACAGCAGGAGCGCACCTAACCCTATAAAGTCTAGAGCCAGAACCACAAACACAATTCAAGCCGGCCTTAAGAGCACTTTGTAGCTCAGGCTGGTCTCAAACTCTCATTGATCCTCCTGCCTCAGCCTCCTGAGTGCTCTGATTACAAGCATGCACCTCTATTCTCGGCTCTAATATCTTATTTATTTATTTATTTATTTATTTGGTACAGGGTCTCACTACGCAGCTCGGACTCATGGTGATTCTGCTGTCTCACCCTCCCCAGCGCTAGGATTATAGGGTGCATGCCGGGTTTCAGTGGCCAGCACAGCATGAGGTACCGGGGATGGACCACGGGTCCCTTGAGCTTGCCAGGCAGGCGCTTAGACTGCCAAGCTTTCTCTCAAGTCCCTAATTTCTCAATTTTGATATATCTATTCCAAAGAAACTTATTTAAGTAAACTTTTATTTCTTTAGAAGATTCGGGGCTGGGGAGATGGCTCAGTAGAATAAGCGCTTGCCTGGCAAGCGCAAGGGCCTGAGTTCAATCCCTGGTTCCACCAAAATAAATAAATAAATAAATAAAATAACAAAAAAAGAAGATTCCCTTTTTTTTTTTTTTTTAATACTGTCCCTTTGTCCCAAGGGTCTCCCCGAGGGCTGCCACAGCACTTGACGTCTGCGCAGCGCACACCTCCCTGTCTGGCTCAGTTCAACAGCAGTGACCTGGATTCACGCCGCTGCAGCTCACCCGTAAGGTCTGTTTTTTTGTGTCTGCGATTGTCAAATACGCATGTCATGAATAGATATTCTGATCTTTTATGGGAAGAGCAAGTTTTACATTAACTCATATACTTCAAAGCAGATGGCAATACGGCCTATCTGAGAGTAACAGCTGAACGCCACTGGACCGGTATGAACCACTCCGTTAGTTCTGTAAGAATGGAGGCTCCCGGCGGCACTCCACCCACCTGGGCTGCCTCTCTCTCCTCCCCAGCTGCCCCTAGAGGAACTGTCCCCTAGAAGACCTCCACTCCCAGTGGGTCCTGGGCCGCAGCCACGCTCCTCCCAAGCTCCACCGGTGCACACCAGGCCACTCCACCTCCGGCGCTCCCGCGACTGCCATAATCCACTCCCGGACCCAAACCCGCCTTCCCAAGGCCGCGTGGGGACTGGCACCGGGACCTGCTGTAGCTGCCGCGCTTACCCCAAGTCCTAGCCGCTCTCCCGGACCAGCAGGGGTCTCAAGAAACGTCCGCCTCCGGGGCGACCTCCGTCCCTAACTCCTCCTTTAGTACTCACCACCAGGCGCCCGCAGTTACCCGTTTGCGCAGACGCGGAGACGCACGCTGAATCCGCCCTAGGCCCCCGCCGGCCGGAACCCGTATAGCGGAATCCAATCAGAAAGCGCCAAAGGAAAGTGCCCAAACTACTCCCGCCCCGTACAAGATATCTGTGGTGAAGAAAGATGCCAATCAAACTAAGCTGCAATGAACTTACTAGCTGCTTTCTGAGACAGCAGCTCTAATTTGGCTGATGCAATGGCTGAGAAAGATGATTCGTTGTGTGTCTGGTGACCAGATTGGATGGTAGCTTGTAGAGGCTGAAATCTTTTTCAGTGTGACAAATCCTTTTAATGAATATATCAATGACAAATTTGGGTTTGTTTGGTTTTTTTTTTTTGGCGGAACCGGGGATTGAACTCAGGCTGTTGCGCTGGCCAAGCAAGCGCTTGTTGTACTGAGCCATCTGCCTGGCCCCACAAATTTCTTTTTAAATGAATAATTGCTAAAAAGTCACCTAAGAGCTGTTTTTGTAATTTCTAAGAAAAATTTAAGACTTTTCCTGCTGCAGATATTCTAGATGCAAAATGATGGAAGCTGGATAGAATAATGACTTATAATAACATAGACATTGTGTGCCACAATTTCTTCATTTTGAAGCCGCCCTCTGTTCACTAAATCTTTTTCAATCCACTGTTGAAATCCACCGGGTTCATCAGACGTGTACTAGGTACAACAGACGTTTCTTGGTACTAGGTATTGAATTCAGGGCTTATGTGCGTGCTAGGCAAGCACTCTACCGTTGAGTTACATTCCGACTGAACCATTTCAGCTTTCCCGTGAGGGATATTTTCAGGTGGGTGTTTTTCATCATTTGATGTGACTAAAATCACTTCAACCCCAAGAGCTGGAACAGAGATCAGCTTTTCTCATCTTCCGGCTTAACCTGGACCTTAAGGTAACTCTGGGACTTTGCCTCTCCGGCTTGGAAACTTTCGCAGACATTTTGGTTTCCATATGCAAAGTTCTAACAGTTGACACAGTAACAAGACATACAGTAACTGCGTTGGGTTGATATGATAGGCCTTGGTGTAATTTTCTACATTTTAGTTGCAGGATGATACGCAGACCTCAAAGATACAACCCCAAACCCCAAACCCAGACTGGTACTATGGACAGAACCCAAGGCCTTCACACTGAGCTACCTACCCCCACCTCCCCTCCCCTTTCTTGAGCCAAGATCTCACTATGTCGCCCAGGGCTCAAATTTGTGATCCTCCTGTATCAGCCACCTAGAATGCTGGAATTATAGGTCAAATTTTCATGCTTTCATGGATACAATTGTTCTTGTCAGACCTTGAATTTGATTTGAGAGAAATGATATAAGGCATCATCCCGGGACTGGGGAGATGGCTCAGTAGAATAAGTGCTTCTCTGGCAAGCACAAGAGTCTGAGTTCAATCCTCAGTTCTGCAAAAAAAAAAAAAAAAAGAAAGAAAAGAAAAGAAAAGAAAAGAAAAGAAAAGAAAAAGAAAAAAGAAAGAAAGAAAGAAAGAAAGAAAGAAAGAAAGAAAAAAGTAAGGAAAAGAAAAATGGCTCTTGGATTTACAGGAGAGGGCCCAAGAGGGTGGCCACTGAGGCTGTTTGATGGAGCAATGTATACAGCACAGGTATGATGTGAGTCAAGCTACAGGATTATAAGTATAGTTACTTAGTTTATATTGATCCACTAGGAAAATGAGTTATATAACAATGGTATATGGAAAGAACAAATGCATTCTTGGAAAGAGACATGTCCAAATGTTTTGGTTTCTCAGGTGTCTGATGCCTTTCTGGGATCACTGGACCAGTTGGAATTGATGACAGCATGGTCTGAAGTTGCTGTTCCTCTCTACGAGGCTTATAGGCCTGGCTCTTCATATTTGTTTCCAGTCACAATTTTTTTTAACTCATTACTAACTTTATTGAAAATCAATAATAATTATATATCAGCCACAATGTTTGTTTTGTCTCATCTTCTTGTGGACTTCTTCAAGGGCCAATCCCTCTGTCTATTCAGTGCTATATATCTTAGCTGTCTATAATACTGGAACCTCCTTTTGCAAATGAGAAAACTATCTCGCTCAAGTTCACACAAAATAGTTGCAGAGCCAGAGTACAAATTTTCATCTCTTTAATTCCAAAGCCTGTACTTTTATCCACTTCTTTATTACAGTGCTAATTTAACATGGTTATAAAACTTGCAAAAAAATTACTTTCAAAAGTAAAAAAAAAAAAAGCAGACTATACAAATATCAAAAGCTGGCAATAGGCAGAAGAGAAAGTAGATAGGATGAGAAAAAAGTGCTTGTCTCTACCATTACTTTTTGCACCTCTGCTCTTTCACCAACAGCTCTTACCTCCTCGCACAGGATCAGGGGCCCAGAGGGAGATATCACGTAGTATAAAGAAGGAAGGGTGTTTGGATATAAATACACAATCTGTGTGTACCTGAATATGGCTTATAAAGGCACAGTGTGGGGCTGTGATCCAAGAAGTAGAGAGCAAGGAAAGGGTGTGTGTGTGTGTGTGTGTGTGTGTGTGTGCGCGCGCGTGCGCACGACAGTGAGGCTACAGGATGGGTGAAGAAAGGAGTTAGGTTGCTCTGTGATATATAGACGGCTTCATTCCATGCTTTCATGGCACATGAACATGGACATGGTGCCAGGTATTGCTGAGCATACCTCTCAGGTTCCAGGACCTGGCTGCACATTGTAGCTGTTGGCCACAGCCTTACACACAATGTTCAGTTCCTTTTGCCCAGCCGGCACAGGGGCTTGCTACTGCCATAGATGACAAGCCCAGCCAGCCCTTTCTGGGGTGCTATTCCTCTCCATCCAACTCAACTGCTTGCCAGGTTAGCCCCCCATCCAGAGACACATGAACCAGGATCATGGCCCTCCCACTGCCACTCCATGCATAGTCCTTGACAGTTATAACCCTGTCAGGCTAGACCCTGGAGGAGCCACAGAGACCACTAGGACAGGCATGATTGGAGCAAACAGCGGTATCTTTACTTCAAGCTGGGTGCACCCTGGTCAAGGGCAAGAAGGATGTTGACCATGAACAAAGTAAGAAAGCCAGTTTCACACAATAGCCTAAGGTATAGGGAGGGGATGTCTTACTGAATAAGATGGGAAATTTTAGGTTTCTCAGGGGTCATGGGTAGTTCTGGTGCCTCTTTGAGGGTGGGAAATACAAGATGACAGTGATATTCTGTTGATTTACAGCATATCATTCTACAAATTTACAGGGTTTTCCTTAATCCTGAGAGCCAGGCCTGAGAGCCATCCCGAGGAACATACTTATTTTCCTTTCTCAGGTTGAGCAAAGGGGCTTTCCTGTTTGAATAGACTGTCCTATCAAAGTTTTTTTTCTCTTCAGGTTGGGAGGGCCTAATTGTGAGGACCTAACTAACACCCTGACTCTAGTTTCTGTGATGGCTGACTGGACAGGGAAGTCCAGACTAGATGGAGCTGAGTCAAACTCTACAAGTTCCAGTCCACTGACAGAGAGACGCCTTTGCCACCCCACTGCTGCCAGCGGCTGTGACTTTCCTCGGGCTCCACCCTGGCTCTCCTCAGTCATTTGACATGACGAGCACCTACCACACTAGGAACCACACCAGGAACACCGGTTCAGGGAAGCAATGGTCAAGCAGCAAGGGATACCCGTTCATCTCATAGGCCAACAGAGGATCCAAATTTTTTTTTTATTTTTAATATGTTTTTTTTAAAAAACATTTATTTATTGTGTGTGTGTGTGGCCAGCTCAGCCCACCAGGGGTGGCTTGTGGTGCTGGGGAATCGAACCGCGGTCACCTGTGCTTTGCTAAGCTTGTTCTAAGTAGGTGCTTTAGACCACTGAGCCATCTCACCAGCCCCGATCCGCATTTTTAAGGAACAGACACTCCCTTCCTCTCAAGGAGTTTCCAGTTACAGAATCAGACATTCTGCAACAGAATCAGACATTCTGCAACAAGCGACAAAATGCCACATAAGCTCGCACCCCCAGCAGGAAGCTAGGACGCATGCGCAAAGCCCCGGCCCAACCCCCTTCAGCTGATTGGCTGGCAGGAAGCCGCTTCCAGGCCTCAGCCAATGATGTTTGGGCCTGACTTACCTCCAACGGGCAGTTGAGGTAGCGCAACCGCCATGCTGAGCTGCGATGGCTGGGACTGCTGGTCGTTTCCGGGGCCGAACCTGGGGACGATTTCCACTCTCCCTGGCGGTGGGCCGTGTGAGTATATGTCGGGGGTGAAAACAGAGCCTGTTTCTCACATTTTCCTTGCCCCTACTCCGAGGAGGAGGGGAAGGAAGTAGTAAGTAGTGTCCCTTGAGCCAGCGCCGTAAGTTACACCTGGCGCAAGGCCTGAGCCTGTGACCCGCCAGCGTGAAGGCTCCATGGAGTTTGTACCCCAGGCCCGGTTCCAGGTCTGTTTAGTGGTCCCAGGCCCTGCCCTCTCCATGCCCGGCGTTCGACGCCAGCCTCGTTGTTAGCAGGAGTCTTGCATCGCCGATAGCTTCTTGGGGTCGATGTAAGAAAGTCTAGAATATTAGTACTTATTTTTGTTTTGTTTACCTTCCCCCCCCCCTCATTTTGAGATAGCATCTTGCTAAATTTTGAGCTCGAACTTGTAATCCTCCTCCCTCAGCCTTTCCCAGTCTGTAATGGGTTTTATTTTATTCTTGCTATTTGGCAGTACTGGGGATCGAACCTAGGGCCTTTACACTGAAGGCCATTTAAGCCCCACCAGTGCCTTGTTTAAATCGTCCAGGTTGGGCTTGAATTTGTAATTCTCCTACCTCAGCCTTTTGGAGTGTTAAAATTACCACCATGTGCCACCAATGCCAGGCTTGTTTGTTTTAATAGAAAAGACAACTTTTTTTATAGGAAGGCTAAGCACCAAATTCAGGACAGCTCTGTGTCTTCAGAGGAGGTGAATATAGAGAGAGCTTCAACTGAAGTGTATGTTGTTGTTTGGTATTCCGGATCAAACTCAGAATCTTATGC